ACCAATAGTGACGTCACATCGCTGATCGCCGAGTTGACGTCACTACGCGTGCAAGGGGGTTGGTCAGGCGTAGGAAAGATGCGCGGGAATTGTTTTGGGAAATAGGGGCTCTGCGCGGCGTACAGCGGCGTAATATTCAGAAAACGTCATCGCTGCGGTCTAATCAACGAATTGCCAAGCTTCGAGCTTGTACGGGGGGGGGGGGGGGGGGGGGGGGGGGGGGGGGGGATAAAAAAAAGTCAGAACCTGCTTACTGGCCCTTTAAAGAAAGGACTATAGATTATATTTCTGTTTTGCATTAAAATAGATAAGACATAAATTACGAAGTTGTAGTTTTACTACAATTCACCAGTTTTCTATGGTAAATGTCACGAAGAAGCTGTTTTTTGGTTACATGCACGAGTAGTCCGAAAATTAGCAGTTGACTGCACACGCAACACAGCCTGCCTTAACGGCACCAAAATTTATAGGTGGCGCACTCCAAGAAAAACATGCGATACTATGGTGTTCAGGACGTGATGGCATCCCAGAATTTAGAAGACACACTCTGTATAGCTCGGGAATTTGAAAAAACTTACACCATCTCCCGCTAAAGGAAACCATGAGCAGATGCGAAACAGCGGGCACTAAGGCTTACACTAGCGGTGACATTCACACTGGCGCTCATCCCTGCGTTGTGCAAGAGAGAAACCTGGGGAAGCGAAAAGCACACAGCGATGGACAGGTGTTTCCTACTGGAACATGCCAATCACTGCTAATGGGCAGTGATTGGCAGAGACCCATTCTGTTTTAGTTAACGTGCAGGCTGCAAATTTTTATTGTTTAACAACACACAGAAAACATCTCCCACCGGCACTACCTTAGAGGTCAAGATCCAGTGCGTATATTTACGAGCTGGTCAGTGAACGATTGTGCAGTGTAAACAGTAGTTTTTTTTTTTTTTTCAATTAAATAACTCTCTAGCAGACGCTGCCTGCATTGGCGTTGCAAGACGAGAGAGGGGGGAACATAGGAGAGAAGAGAGAGGGGGAGTGGACACGGATGTGCAGTGACAGTGATCCCGCCGCACACCGGATAAAATCAACCCTAAGCTGCTTCACATCTAAAACGCTGTCAATTGACAGTCGAAGTTCCCAGGAACAAGCACGTTAAATATTATAATGCACCAAGCGGCCTGAAATTCACAAGTTCTCAAAGTCAGCTAAAAATTGCTTTCTCTTCTCTCAACAAAGGGATCTACAAGCTAAAAAATCACTCATCACAACTCGTAAAATCAGCTATTGGCTGATTTGAGCATGGTACACTCGGTCGGTACTAGGGCAGCGGCAGCAGGCCGCAACTTGCATACGCATGCACACGCGATCGCACTGAAAAGCCACGTATTTGGGAAAAAATGGGGGGAGGGACTTCTCAAGGTCACAAGGCCCACGTGACACGTTTTCTTTCCTCGTGCCATTCCTCGCTTCTTAGCTTCCAGCACTCTCGTCGCGACGAGAGAAGAAAGCATGCAATTGTAAAATTGCAGTGTGCAACAAAGCTTTTTAACTCCGCTTGTACTTGACGGATTCTTAAGATTTTTGCAGAGGTGAATTCTTGAGGCAGTAAGCTTCTTTAGTGAATCCATTTCATGGCTACTTGAAAAAGTGTAGCAGGGCCCGTTTAAAGGAGCATATATGACTATCGTTACTAGAACTTCAAATTTTGACATACATATAAATACCGTTACAAACCATTATAGAACTTTTTTTTTCGTTCTGGAACAGAAATGAAAATGAAACTTTAAGCAATTGAATGAAGTAAAACCCTAACGAAAAGCAGTTTGCTCCGATATCCTGACAGCAAACAATGTTTTTTTTTTTTTCTTGACTAATACATACAAAATGCCTTGGTATTATTTTCAAGGGCGGAAGGTACAGGAGGGAAAAGAAGGGCAGGGATGTTAACCAGTCTAGGGGGCTAGTATGCTACCCTACCCTACACTGATGACAGGGATGAGTGAGCTTGAAAGATTTGAAAGATGAAGAGAGAGAGGAGAGAGCACACGCACACAAAGTCGCACTTCACAGTCATCGTAACAGTATTAACCTATAACCACTGGTGCAAGCCTGTTGCCTGTAATATTTTTTATGTCTGGCCTAGCGCTTATGGTGCTCGACTGCAGACCAAAAGATAGCGATATTGATTTCTGACCACAACGGCCACATTTTGATGGATACTAGATTGAGGCACACATTAACAGAACCCCACATAGCTGAAATTTTAGTAGTTCCCCATCAAGGCCTTTCTCGAAATCATTTCCTGGTTTTCGGACGTCATTATCAGCCTGACTATGCCTACTGCAGAGCAAAGGCCCCTCCTCTGTTCCACCAATCAACCCGGTCCTATGCTTTCTGCTGCCACATTATACCTGCAAACTTCTTTATTTCATCTGCCCACCTAATTTTCTGTCTCGTTCTCACGCATTTTCATTCTCTCAGAATCCAATCAATTACCCTTGATGACCAGCAGTTATCCTGGCTATGTGCAGTGTGCCCAACCGACGCCCACTTCTTGATTTCCCCTATGACATCCTGACCCTCTCTGCCTTCTTCCTGTTTCTTAAGGTTACACCTGTCATTTTTTTTCCATCGCTCGCTGCGTCATCCTCAATTTAAGTTGAACTCTCTTTGTAAGCCTCCAGGTTTCTGCTCCATGTGTAAGTACCACTAAGATGCAGCTGTTATATACTTTCCTCCTCTTGAGGGATAGTGCTGGAGAATAATTCATGATGGGAGAATTCTGACCAGGTGTGCTCCACCCCATAATTATTCTTGAATTATTTTATTCTCATGATTTTTGCCTATGCAATTACTACATGTCCTAAGTAGACATCCATTACAACATCCAGTGTCTTGCCACCTATCGCAAAGCACTGTTCTCTACAGAGACTGTTGCACGTTACTTTGTTTTATGCATATTAGTTTTCAGACCTACTCTTCTGCTTTTCGTGTCTAGTTCAGCAATCATGAGCTGTAATTGACCATTCACAAAAATCTGAAAGGCAGCTTTCCTGCAAGGTTGTTTTCAAACCAAAAACTCTCGTACAGAGACTGCTTTCGTCGCTCACTAAGCTTTTACCACTATTAATTCCAGTGAAAGCACACGAATACGACAAGATGACTTATGCCCCCAACAATTCACCTTTTATTGATGAGTGTGGCGAATTCGCAACATACCGAAAAACTTCAAGCAAACAAGTCACGAAACGCGTGCGCCGCCTTTAATTCCGGCTGTCAAGTACTCAAGGGGAATGTAGCTTTCAACATGAAAAATCTGACCCCGTCTCGTCTAAGACATTTTATGCCAGAACCAAATGTTTTGTAGCTGATGACAGAGAGCATGAAGCGGGTACAACAGCTCTCACTTCTATGTTCTTTCTCGCCTGGGTGACGTAAGTTCCATTTTCAATATTTTTGTTTATTTGGTGTTCACACACCCAAGAAGTGGCCCACGGCACGTTTCGTATTTCTGAAGTACGTTTTTTGTTGTAAGGTCCTCGCTTCTGTGGCATAGGGAGAATTCACGACATACATAAAATTATAAATTAAAGTTGCATTTTAGACAGTTTAACTGCAGAATCACTGAAAAGTTGGTATATAAAGCTGAGAAATGAAAACAATTTTTATTTTATTTGGCAGTTTCATAATTCAGGCATTAAAGGGTTAATTTAGGGTTGACCTTCCTTGTACAAACACTCAGCCTAGAAGGTGGTGGACTCAGCCTAGATGGTGGACGAGGCACCTGTCGTTCGTTAAGGGGGGGGGGGGTAGAAACACAATAACTGAGAAAGGCAGTCTGTGAACAAAAACTTTTGGTTGGAAAACAACTTTGCAGGAAAGCCACCTTGCACATTTTTGTAAATGGTGAATTCGTCCCCTGAAGTGTGGCAGCTTGGGCTAGTTGGTATGACATGACGATCATCCCCTGAGTTACTCGTCAATGCGATGTCATCAGCAAACCGCAGGACACTAAGATACTCTCATTTAACTCTTATCCCTAACTCTTCCCAATCTAGGGCCCTGAAAACCTCCTGTAAGCACTCGGTGAATAGCATTGCAGAGATCGTGTCCCTCATGCCTTACACCCTTAACTATTAGGATTCTGTTGCTTTCTTTATGGAGAACTATGGTGGCTGTGGATCCACTGTATATCTCTTCCAGTATGTTTATGTAGGGTTCGTCGATGCCCTGATCCCATAATGCCTGCATCACTGCTGATGTCTCGACTAAGTGAAACACCTTCTCGCAATCTATGAAGGCTATATATAGGGGTTGGTTGTATTCCGCGCATTTCTTTATTACCTGATTGATAGTATGAATATGGCCTATTGTGGATGTAGCCTGTACGAAATCCTGCTTGGTACTTTGGTTGATTGAAGTGTAATGTCGGGTTAATTGTATTAGCTATTTTTGTAAATATTTTTGTATTATTTCTGCAAACGGTAAGCAGATCTGGTTGTAATTTTTCAAGTCCTTGACATCTCCTTTCTTATAAGTTAAGATGTTCTTGGCATTCTTCCAAGATTATGGTACCCTTCCCGTCAAAAGCCAGGTTCTCTAACACAATTTATCCGTCATCTTTCAGCAGGTCTGATGGTACCTTATTCTGATCAGCGGCTTTGCCTCATTGCATTCCCTCTAGGGCTTTGTTTACTTCCCCTGCCGTTACTGGTAAGATGTCAGATTTCTCTGGGCTATAACTGCTATTATTGAGTAAGACCCAATAAATCATTAGAATATTATATATCGGTACACTCTGCACTACATACAACTTCGTTGTTATTATGATAAAAAGCTAGCAGGTAAGCCAGCTAACTTATTCTTTGCAAAACGTGAACTGTATCCATGCTGCACTTTTATCATGCGGGTTTCGAAAGCAACGAGCACGATCCCCTTTGTAATCGCATGAAAGCCAAAACCAACTTATTTTTTTCTGAATATAGAAGATATTCCACCACATACCGCTGAGAAGATCCAGGTCTGTGAATCCGTCCAATGGGATGAAAGCCGTTTTGTCTCGTACTCCATCGCACTCGCCGATCTTCTTGTGCTGCTTCACGCAGGGCAGGGAACACGATCGGGCTGAACATTTTGGGCAGCAATACTTGGACGGCTTACCGCACTGCAGGCATGTCCTGCTAGACAGGCCAAAACTTGTAACGTCGTCCATGAGAACGCCCGGCATAAGCCGCCACCCAACAAAAACACAACCCACGTGCCTCACTTACTTTTCAGACGCGGCCATGCTTGTTTTCACCAATTTTTGATGACGTCAATGCTGCACCAATGTTGATTGCATTAGTTTCATATCGCGCTAATGTACAAAAAGTTGCACTGCGGCAGCGGTGCAGTGGTGAGGGGCCCGCCAGTATCACTGCATGTATCAAAGTACAATCGTTATATTTAAATTTGCATTTCAAAAACTAATGACTAATTATTTTTGTATTAGTACCAATGGTTTTAAAGGATGCTAAACAGATACCACCTTGCGCACACTTTGAAATTATGAGGTCCGTTCGATTCGCTTGCACCACGTGAACCAGTTCACGAGGTGCTGCACCTTACCATTCGTTTCAGCGGTGCAGCAATGACGACCGCTGAACCCTGCCATTCGTTTTGAAAGGTGCAGAAGAGGTGCAGCACCGGTTTACGATTTTCCTGCACCTCCTTCGCTGACGGTGCCGGCTTGAGGAATCTTCGATTTGGCTTGCACTAGTTCAGAAAAGTGCAGGTGCAGAAAAAGCGGTGCCAAGCGGTGCAGTGAGCGTGCAGCGCCGGTCGAGCAAGTGCAGGTGCAGCCTCAACCACGCCTCGGCACTAGCCGACACTAGCGCGCGACGGCTACAGCCAAAACGAAGGCGTGAGTTGACGTGAGTGCAGGCCGGAGAACACCTTGTAGTGTAAGCCTAAAATAGCCGCCTCCGCCGCCTTGTCCGATCAATACACGGCCGTGATGGCACTTCTTGTGACTGCGATGGAATTGCTGGACTCGAGCAGCGACGACGATTCCGTCAGCGGTGCCGTTTGCAGTGACTGCGACGATGAGTACGACGATGCGTGCATCTTGGTCGCGTGCGCGTTGGTGCGCGACGATGCCAACCGTGTACCCGGGTACGAAAGCATTATCGGCAGGTACCATGAGTATGAATTCAAGCGCCTCTTCAGGCTGTCCAGGGAGACTTTTGATAGTTTCAGGGCCAAGTTCAAGACTTCAGCCTTCTACCCAAGGGCAGTGCAAGGCCGCCAACAAATCAGTGCCGAAAAAACATGCCTCATAGCGCTTGTGTACCTAGGCTCACAAATATCTATGTACGCCATAGGCGACAAATTCGATGTTACCGAGTCGTCTGTTCATGTTTGTGTGACACGGGTCGTTCACTTCTTACACGCTATTAGCGATGAGATAATTTGCTGGCCTAGTAGCGCGGAAGTGACCCGCATAAAGAACGGCTTCCTCGCCAAAAGTAAAGGCAAGGGCCCAAGAAACACCATCGGCTGTATCGATGGATCACACATCGGGATACTCACTCCAAGCGAATCTACGCAGTCTTACTTCAACCGGAAAAAGTGGCCTTCGATAATCCTGCAAGGAATCTGCGACGACAGGAACAAGTTGCTGAACGTGTTTATTGGGTTTCCAGGTTCGGTTCACGACGCCCGTGTCCTGAGGGAGAGCCCCTTCTTTGCACGCGCAATTCAGGAATGTGAAGACAATTATATACTGGGTGACAGTGCATATCCACTGATGCCATGGCTCATGACCCCATTCAAGGACAATGGAAGTTCTTTTCCTACGTGGAAAAAGAGCTTCAATAAACGACACAGTCAACAACGAGTGCTTATTGAGAACACCTTCGGCCTGCTTAAACAGCGTTTTAGGAGGCTCTACCTTGTTGATGCAAAAAGTGTGCAACAGTGCTGCTATATAGTTATGGCTGCGTGTGTGCTACACAACATGTGCAACGATGAAAGGGACTTCCTTGAGGAACTTGCAACGCTTCCCCAAGAAGAAGATGTGGGCAATGATGAAAGTGAAGGAGATTTTGATTGCAGTCTGCCAGGCTACAGTCAGTCTCTGCGAGAGTTCATTGCAAAGGAACAGTGCTAGAAGTTCATCTTTGCTTCGCGATTTATTCAGTGTGCAAATGTTTTGCGAAGTGGGGTGCCGCGTCTAGAAGCAATGTTTTTTTTTAACAAATTAGATGGAGTAGACACTGCTAGTGTTATAAAAGTTTATTGCCCATATTATAACCCGTCCTTATTTGAGAGTACGTCGATCAACCGATCGAATCGCTGCATGCGCTCATCATGCCGCTTTGCCTTTGCCTCTTCCCATTTTTTCTTTCCTCCAGTTGTTTCACTGCTGCCTCCTCTTGCTTAGCTCTCGAAGCTTGCATTTTTTCTAATGCCTCCAAGAGCGGCGTGACTTGGGACCTACTCTGGCGCTTCCTTTTTGGCGTTGTGCTGCTCCGAACTTTGGATGCTGTGTTGCACTCGACTGGGACTGCTGCGTCTTGAGGTGCTTCAGTGATGCTGGTGCTGTTGAAAGTAATTGTACAGGTGCCATGTCATTTCCAGGCTACAGCACAAATTAAGTAATTTTTACTTACTCTGGACTTGCACTAGGCAGGATTGTTTTTCCAGGCTCCAAGAGCAGCCTTGGATTTACACTATGTTCTTTTTCCAAGACTTCTGCCAGCTCTCTGTAATAGACACTATGAGAATCACTGAAGATATGAAGACACAATCGTAACTTACTCTTCATATTCACAGTTCACACGGTGGTGACCTGAAGAATTGTTGTCTTTTTTTGACTTTTTATATGCTCTGTCCAGCGACTTCCATTTGTTTTCCACTTGTGTGGCAGTCACGTTGCACAAGAACTCCGTATTGATGGCCTCAGCCAACTTCTTCCACAGAAGCCTTCTTGTGCTAAACAAAAAAGCAAAGCACAGTTAGTAGGAAAGAAGGAAGCGACGTAACGTGACCCAAGTCTTGCAGTAGCACATGAACCTTTCCTTAGTACTTCATATGTGTAGCTTTCAGGGATAATTGCTAGGGATGTTCGATTATTCGAAAATTTTGGATAATGAATCAAACAGCACTGTATTCGGTTCCTAAGTCGAATCGAATTGCACATATTCTAAGTAACAAATATTCTTTTAATAATCGGCACTGGCGGGAGAACCCCAAAACAACGAAACAGCTACAAGTCATTCTTTCAATCCCTAATGTGACCTGTACGCAGCCCAAGCTTTTGCAAGACTACCTACACTATATTGATTGTCGAATGAATGCGCTTCTGAAAGCTCCATTCTTGCTCAATTTTTACTGCACTTTAGCTGTATCGCATTTATCAGCTCCTGTCTTCGTCTTGTAATAACCAAGGTGGGAACTACGAGTGCTTGCAGCTTCACGACTAGCAACAGATACAAGTTTTGCGTTTGCGTAAATTGTTCTTGCAGATGTAAATTTCAACGCCCATTGTTATCCGCTTTTAGTGCGCAGGCCATGTTGTGATGACGGGTTGATCTGCTCCGTTACATATTTAGTTGTATCTGCAATGTTTGGTTGTAAATTGTTTTGTTTTTGTGTCCCAATTTTATTTAAAGTGAGGTGACAAAGTCTCACGTTGATAACGCTAGTCAATGCCGTAGTTGAACCTACAATTACAAAATGTTACGAATATTCTAGTTCCTGCTGCATACGAGATTACCTTAGTTTTCGTAATTGTGGTATTTTGAGTAGATTCAAACTGACTGTAATGGCCTTTGTCGAAAGTTTGTGACTATTTGTTTCAAATAAAATGTTCTGTTCTAAGGCTGTTTTGAAAATGGTCTACTTACTATTCAAACAGTATTCAATTACTATTTGTATTCTATTTGGTGCCATTACTATTTGACTCTTACTTGATTAGGTTCCGAAATTCACTATTCACACACTTCTGATAACTGCGAACGTTCTTTTTGTGCGGGAAGCATTATGTTGGAGAAGTTGAACATTGTGTAAATCACTCTTTTGGATCATAAAGCTTCACTAAGGAGACAGCCATATTCTAACCTGTCTTTGCATTGTAAAACATGCAGCTGCGCAACCTTGTTTGCTGACACGACGGCGCAGTCTAGGTTCAAAGATAGGGTAGCACGTGTCAAGAAGCATATCTCTTTTAACAATGAGCTGCACCATCTTGAAAAGTGGCAGTGCGAGAGAAATGCGGACAGACAGTGAAGACACAAGGACTGCAGGGCGAGACTTGCTAGAGATGTGCCTCAGAATAACAACATGCAATTCCCTCTAGTGCAAATTCTCAAGGCAGCACTACACTTGCAACATGGCTTGAGCTTGGAGGTGCTGCACCTTTTCGGCAAGACAGCGGTTGTGCAATGCCCAACACAAAAGCACCGTCGCTGTTTTTGAAGATCACTTGACTTAATGAAACATTACGAATGCCTTCGTTGTGTATATATGTGCGTGACTATACATACTGTTTGTGTGTATATGTAAACGTATATGTCACAGTCAGGCGCATAGCCAAAATTTTTTTTCAGTGGGGGGGGGCAGTAAAATGTAAATTGCTGGCAGTAAAATGTAGGCAACAATAACCATCGCCATTGTGAACTTCATGCGCCCTTATCTTGTTGGTGCTTGCCTAGAGTGAAACGGAATAATAAAAAGCTGCAAATAATTTTGGACATAGGATGACATACCGAAGTGCCCTGGTTTTTCCCACCAAGTCCTTCATTTCCGAGTATTTGGCGATGAAGAACCTTGTTTTTCGGGCGCTCCAAAGCTCTTCCACATCTTCAGCCGACGCGGCTGCTGCTGGAAATGCGGCTAAAGCCCCATCGCTGTCAACGTCGCCGTCGCAGGCAGGAGAAGGCGTCGGCGGTTGTGCCGGAGGGGGGTCATTTTCACGATTCCCTGCCATGAACCGCAACGTAACGCGCTTGCCGTCTGCAAGGGCGAAAACCAAGATTAAAAATACCGACATAGCATAAGCAATGCTACGAGGCTGTTTGCTGACCGACTACGACTCCTGGCCGCTAACCACGTTTTTTGGCAATGCATGCAGCCTGACTTACCTGATGCCTCATAGACGTAACCGTTGGCGTCCGTCATAAATGACCCGTCGGGATTGTGAAGTGCCTTAACTTCCTTTTGAACGCCCTGAACAACTATTTGCAACGTCGTCTGCTCTGGCCTTGGGGGGACGCCCGCCATGCTGCACTACTCTGCACCTGCTTTGGAGTGCGTGCACGCCGGTACAGAACTCGTCAGGAACTAGGCTTACACCTAGACAAAACGAGGGAGCCAGTGCAGAGGGTGCGACAGAGGGCGCGCGCTGCTCCGGCAAAACGAGGACGAAGGTGCTGCACCCTTTGAACTGGTTCAGCCGGTGCAGCCAAAACGAAGAGACCATTGGTGCAGGCGCGCGTGCAGCTGAGCAGACGACGCAGCACTTAGACGTAGGTGGCGTAGGCGCCGTACCCGCCTCTACTAACGCGGTGTGTTTTGCCAAGATGATTGCGCCTCATGAACTGTCCACATGTGCGGTTCGCCATCGTTCAGTGTTCACTGAACAGTGTAAATTAAGCGAACAGAAATAAGGCCTGCACCTTGTTGGCACATCGTCATTCGTTTCGGGGGTCGCGCTGTGCCTGCACCACTGAACTCGCGCTGCACAATTTCTGAACTTCGCGTGCACAGCCGTGAACCGGTTCCGACTGGTGCAGGTGAATCGAACGGACCTATGGTTGCCCAGCAACGTCTGTCCTCTCCTCCTCGCTGTTTCTTTTCACCACGCTCTTTCCTTTCAAGGGTTCCCACCCCTCTCGCCGCGTTCGGGCTGCTGGTGCTCGGCCAGGCCTGGCTCGGCGTTGTGTGGTGGGGGTGGGGGCAGTGGTGGGGGTGCGCTGTGGCGTCAGCCGACTAGTGTGCTTGTTTTGCTAGTTGTGCCCACACGCCGACAGTGGCAGCAAGCTGTTTTCGTCGTGGTTAATTGCGTCTAGCCAATGCAGTGGTCTCGATCGTGCGGATGCAGTGCCAGGCGACCCCGGTCAGCGGCAGGGACGCTCACGAGCGCGGCCTCGGTGATCCACTCACTCAGTTTGCGACATTGAACAGCACGGAGCGATAGCCCTGCGCGGCGATCGATAGACCGAGAGGGGCAACCGTAGGAATGAACGCGATGGATGGTGCCCATTTGCTGTCCGTGCTGTTGTGTTTGGCCGCGTTCTTACAGTACGCGAGCCCCTTGCAACCGAATGAAAAAGTCGAGACAGGAGTACAAAACCTCAAGAGTCTGTACATAGCGGCAGTGTTCCCCATGAAGGGCCATGGTGGCTGGCTCGGCGGTCAAGGATGTCTTCCAGCGGCGCTTATGGCATTAGAAGATGTGAACAAGCGGTCTGACCTCTTGATTGGTTACAAGCTCGAAATTGACTGGAGGGACAGCCAGGTTCGTTGTCCTTGACACACATTTGACGAGCCATCGAACCGCGCAGCCAGGCGACCTTTGACATTTCGAGCAGTGCTCCTCTTTTGACAGATGTTTCACTCTTACCGAAATTTGATTTGCCAAATTTGGAATTTCAAAATGTTCAGCCAACATTAGAGCTGACCACGTTCCTTGCAAAGTGTATTCAAACGTTAAGGTTACGCCTTAGTTTCATGTTGTCTTGCCAGTGTAGCGGTTTTGCTAAACCAAGTAATTGTGCTGTAAATCTGACCGTCTGCTCGTTCTTTTCAAGGAGACATTAACGCGCAATTTTGCTGCTCTCATTTGCAGTGCAATCCCGGTCTAGCAGCGACAGTCATGTATGACCTGCTCTACAATGAACCACAGAAATTGATGCTGCTGGGAGGTTGCAGTATTGTTTGCTCTACAGTTGCTGAAGCTGCTAAAATGTGGAACTTGGTTGTTGTAAGTGCTCTGATCATCATACAGTGCCTTGACAGCTCAAAACTCAGCAGAACAGAACATTGAGAACTGCAAAGTCTGACCGAGAATTCGCTGCATGCACACCGTTTAAGTATGCCTCATTTGAGAGCAGAGTTCATTCAACTAAAGTTACATATAATTATAGCTGTACTTACACATGGTCATAATTTTCATGTCCTTTCTACATCTTTCTTTCTGGTGTCGATCAATTGTCATATGTAGACCAAAGACACTTTGAACAATCTTTGGATCAGTGATCAGAGATTTTTAAAATTCCTGGCTGCGAGTTCTGTGTTTCAGTTTGTAAATGGTGTGAGGTTGGTCAGTGTGTTAGAAATACAGCTGACCACCCTTGCCCTCAGTGCTTTGCATTTTCTGTGCACCATTCACATTTGCATGAAAAAGTGGCGCCCCAAGAGGACTTTTTAACAGAAGAGCTGTTTAAGAGAAGTACTTTGGTTTGGGCTAGTTGGTTCATAGTGCTCACATAGAAAGGGTAGCGCAAAAACTCGGGGAAAATGAAGGAAGAGAGAAAAAAGAACTCGGGAAAAAACAGTGCTCTGTCACTACTGTCCTTCTTTTTTCCCGAGTTTTTGCACTGCCCTTTCTGTGTGAGCTGTTTAAAATTGAGGTTAATCCCTGTGCAGTGCAGCGTAGCTCCTAGCGGGTATGTGCTACAGGAATTCAGCGAGCCTCACTACTCAGATCCAGTTCACTAAAAATGGGAAAGCTGTTTCTATGACTAGCCTAGCGGGTAGAGGGTATATGCCACCTCGATTGCGCCAGCCCCACTGCTCACCTCCGGTCCATTAGATGTGATGAATTTGAACTTCTAATGAGTTTCACTGATTTTACATTATGAATACTGGTTAAACAGTGCAGATAGTTCCAAAACTACTATAGAGCAAAGTCAAGCAATGAAATAGTAATTGATGCCACCAGCTCTGCTGTGTGACCAGTCTTTGCAACTTTAAATCAGTAGTGTTGCTTCAAACTTGTTTACTGTGAGTTGTATATAAAATAAAATATTAACATTTGTTTGGTTTCTATTCTTCCCTATGGCAGAGTTCTTGTGAGCAGCACATTGTGTTTTTTGCATTTACTTGGTTTATTTTATAGGTGGGAAGAAATTAACACTATGTGATGAAAACCATTTTTTAATAAAGCATAAAAAAAGGAAGCTCAAACGGATAAACAAAAAAAAATATATTGTGCAATGTGCAAATACCCAAGCATAATACTGAACATAAATGTATTAGGCAAGATAAAATCTGGTGATCGTAGGTTGGCAAGGCCACAGATGACACTTAACCAGCAGAGGACAGGAGCAAGATCAAACACTAAAAGCAGGCCTACCTAGTTGCACTTGCAGCATAAACAAAGGTATTTGGGATCGCATTTGAGAGCAAATGCAAGGCGGCCACCCATCAGTTTCCAGTGGGTACAGGGCGGCTTAGGGGTGGTGATACGGTGCCGCTGCGCAAAGTTTATGACACTTAGAGGACTCCCAGGCCTTTGCGCGGGACCAGTAAGAACAGATGCAGTGCAGTGATGTTGTAGACGATATCACTAAAATCATAGCTAGACTCATTTGTGGCAGTTGAAATTAAAGGTAGAACACCGAGACAAGAAATAAAGAAGTTCCTTCATACCTCTCGACTTTAACACAGAGCAGGTACAAGTAAGTAGCTCAAGGGATAAAAAAGAATTTTCTGAATAATCAAAGCTTATCAACAAAAGTAATATTAATTACATACAGAACTGGAATTTCAAGAGAGGCAGAAGTAGCAAAGGGTGACAGCATCAAGACAGCTAAAAGGAAACTATGTGAAAGATGATAACACATGCTGAAATGTACAGTTCAAATATAAGTCCACCCTACTGTGAGTTAAATCAAAGTCCATTATGACCGATGTTTCAAACATAACTAGTGATGAGCTTAATAAAGCTCTAAAAGGCATGCCTCACAAAAATTGCCTGGAGAAGAGTGCATGATAGCTTATCTGATCAAAGATTGAGGAGACCTTTTATTTCTGCACTCTATGCTCTAAGGCTCTAAACTTCAAATGTACCAGTGAGCTGGAAAAATACAGTATTTCAATAACATACAAGAAGTAGATATGACCTATGGAACAACTAGCCTATGTTCGACCTAACACAAAATATTCACAAAGGCAATTCCAAATAAGATAAAAGATTACTCAACTGAGAGAGCAAGCTCGTTTTAGGAAAAAGTGCTCTACATGGAATCACCTACATGGGAACAATTAAATGTTTAAAAAATGTGCTGCACACAATAAATGCTTTAATATGGCAATCGTAGATTACAAAAGGGCATTCAATTTTGTAGTGGTGTCGGCAGGTATTGAGTCGTCAAGGGCTCCGTGAGACAGCCGTGAGTGCTAAACCTAACAACTCTACGGAGATTTTCCATGTACACTGCTAGAAAAGCAGAAAAATCCTGAATGAGAAATGGGTTCGTCATCACTATACAACCTTAGCATTGTTGTTCACTACATGTTTGAAAGTATTTAAACGGCTTGACTGGGAATAAATAGGAATAAACATCAATGGAAATTATCTTGGCTAGTTGCACTTCGCAGATGACAGTATGCTCTTTGAAAATGATGGCATCAAACTGCAAAGAATGAGTGAAGACGAAACCAAAGAAAATGTTAAATATAGGGTTCATGATGAATACACATCAGACAAAAATAATGAATGAAAAAGAGTTCATGATAGAAACTGGACCATACAGTCTTTAGAAGAGTATGTATATCTAGAAAACTTTCTAACAGGAGAGCCTACTCATGTGAAGGAAATTCAAAGTAAAATAGGGACAGGCTGGTGTGCATACGATAATCATTCTCAACTTGCAGTTTGACATTGTCACTAGAGCAAAGATGCACAACTATTTCATTTTCCAGTTCTAACATCTGGTGCCAAAACTTAGAGAATGACAAAGAAACTCAAGTAGTTAAGGACCACACAGCACGCTATGAAACTGAACATAACGGACATAACATTGAGAGCATGGAAGACAGCACAGATCAGAAAACAAACGGTTGGCCAATATTCGAGTTGACATAAGAAAAAAAAATGAATATGAGCAGGTCACATAATAAGAACAGAACAATATATCGGATACCAAGAGACCGAAAATGTGGTGGAGCATAGCAAAGGGTAACGTGGCGAAATAAAGATATTTGCAGGTATAAAGTGGAATCGGCCTGCACAGGACAGATTGGGTTGAATATTATTGGATGCGGCCTTCATATTTCAGGGAACGTAAGATACCCTGATAATGATGATCAACAAAAACATTTCTGTTGTGCACTTTGTTATTGCTCTTTTAGTCCTATTACACTTTTGTTAACATAGTTCGTAGTTCATACACCCTTTTCTCCTGTTACTTTTGACTATAATATAGTCTGTATAGTAATGTACCCAGTGTTCATCGTTGCAAAAAACTTCAAAAAAATATTTTGATGTCTGTTACGCTCTTCATAATGTTGTCTATGCTCTGACAGAGGCAAACATTCAGTTTTGGTGCAGTTGTTTGGGGTAGGCTAGGAAGATACATTTTTCTACTTCCAGTGCCATTCTCGATTGCCTTTAAGCCATTGAATGGAAGTAGAATTAAGATGCTGCGGGCTGAGATAGGAAAGATGTTGCCAGCACACTTGGGCTCAGCATATCAATGGACTTTCTAGAAGGGCAGCCTGCACGTGTACGGTGGCGGTAACGTTCACACCATGTTTTTTGGGGGCACAGTGTAGTTACAAGAGTGGGCCTAATTATAGCTGGTGTCACAAGGTTGCAGATAATCCCAGAAATTAAAGCAGTGCAAAGCAAGGCCTGCACAATTGTCTACCTGTGTGTGCCAGGGTATTGCAGGCGCCATCGGCCACCAATGTTGATTTTGGCGACACCCCACTGGAGGCACTATTGCGACCCGAAAAGTCTATTGAGGCGTGACTTGTATTACTGACATGGTCGCAACGGCTATGCACTGCTGAGCTCAAGGTTGTCAGTTTGATCACAGCTGAAGCAGCCAGATTTTATGGATGATGAAATGCAAAAATACTTAATTATTTAGATTTAGTTACAAATAAATCTTCCACCAGCCCTAGCATCACCTGACACTGCTCTCAAATATGCGTTTGCAAAATGCTGTGTTGCATGGCATTGCCAAACCACTTTAACTTTTTATCCTATAATATTTTCTGAAGTTACTGATACAAGTGAAAATGTTATTGTTTATGCTCCAGGATTGCTGACTGACTTACGTATAGCATACCCAAAGCATTTTGTCATGGAGTATAAGTCTAATTTTTTTCCATCAAGTTTCACTTCAAGATAGTTTTATGGGATTTCAATTCACCGTAGCTCCTACTATGAAAGTAGACTTCCTAAAAATATAATTTGCAAAAGTGACAGTTGCACAAACAAGGGACGGTTCTATGTGAATCTTCAAACCAGAGCATTTGTGAGGAAAGCGTGTGACACCTTTGCTGTTATGTTTGGTTACCCTGTTTTTTTTACAATAAATTTGTTTGTATATGTAAATGTGAGCATGAAGGTTACAAAGCATTATTGTTTAATCCAGTAAAGTTATTTTCACTGTATTACGTTTTAGGTAACATTTTTCAAGCCCACAAAATATAATGTCACGATGGCTCTTCTACATCTGTTATGCAACTCTCTCAGCTATGCTTCTAAACAACAAAGCTCATGTGCCTACTGTGCAAGATGCCAGTAAGGTTATTTTAATCTGGTTACAGCGCTAGCTTATCGATTATCATTTTAGACCGTGCTGTCATGGCTGCCTGCTGGATGTTGGGGCTTATCATTTACTTTCATTAAAGAACGTGCATCTTTCCATTCGTGGGAAGACTGCTGAAAGTGCTGTAAACTGAATGTGGAAGCATCCACTGATGTCAATTTTTTTGAGGAAATATTTTGTGGCCTTTCTTTAGAACCCAGCCCCGTCGCGGTGGTCTAGTAGCTAAGGTACTCGGCTGCTGACCCACAGGTCGCGGGTTCAAATCCCGGCTGCGGCGGCTGCATTTCCAATGGAGGCGGAAATGTTGTAGGCCCGTGTGCTCAGATTTGGGTGCACATTAAAAAACCCCAGGTGGTCAAAATTTCTGAAGCCCTCCACCACGGCGTCTCTCATAATCATATCGTGGTTTTGGGACGTTAAACCCCACAAATCAATCAATTCTTTAGAACCCAGAAAAAGAACCATGTGAATTATATGATTGTGGGAATTTCATTTAGTTTCATTGAGAATTGAGAACAGTTTCATTGACAATTTAAAATAGTTTTTCATTCTTGATCGTGATGGTTTGGCAACTGAAGTTAACTTAATAAGTAGCCTGAGACATTAATCGAGAACAACTGAAAACAGTATGCCATTGGTCTCAATCAGCTAAAATGCGCTAAAGGTTGGTCCAAGTGAAGTGAAATATCGAGAATAATCTGTTGATTAAAGGGGGAACTTTCTTTTTTTTTTCGGACATAGCACGTTATCTTTTGATATCCTAGTCTCATTCTGTTTTGATTACTTCCTGGCCTCTCAGATGCCCATGTAGCTAGTGTAAATACCCGTAGTCACATTATTTCTGTCTGATTTGCCATATATGAACCATCATTAAAGAACATGCAAACTAGATATTGTGCAAGCAAATAAATTCAATTGCCTACTTCAGCTAAACTGATACCTTGTTTATGGTACTGAGATTTAAGTGCACTTTAAAGAACCCCAAATGGTTGAAATTTCTACAGCTGTACACTACCACATTTTCATAATCATGACATGGTTTTGGGACGTTAAAACCCAGGTATTATTATTATTATTATTATTATTATTATTATTATTATTATTATTATTATTATTATTATTATTATTATTATTATTATTATTATTATTATTATTATTCCTTGTTCATGCACAAGTATTGCATGCATGATGCATGTGGCGCATCATGGTGTATGTTGCCTAATGCCATTTATTACTTCCCCACTTCATCTAAGATAAGTCATGGGGATGTACGTACAATTCGTACTTTTGATTTGTAGCACAGTCACATGCGGCACTTTTGATCACCATTAATCCTGCCTGTCATCATGAAAAGTGACCATTGTGGCTGTGGTAATATGCATGCCATCATCATCTCTACAATATTCCGCATATTCCTCACACCAACCAAAACCTGAGGGGCCCTGCAACACTTCTCTAAGTTATAGAATGACTTTATTATTACAGTCTGTTGCCTCACTAATCACCTGCCTTTATTCGTTCATATTCATAGAGTATGCACAGTCATCCCAAAAACTGAGCATTTTTTCCTTCTTTTGTCATGATGAGCATGCTAGACAATACAAGGGGAGAGGGGGAGGTGTGGCTACTAAGATATCTTCTTGTTGTGGTACATTGCCTTCAAGATTATCTGCTGGCACACCATTCATGAAGTCACACAAACATGTCATGTGCTTGCTGAGTACTTTGTGATGATGTTGCAAAGGAGAGAGCTAGCAATGTTTTAGTATTTCTGACGTGGAATCGTAAAATCCTGCCAGGCAATTGTATTTTGTTTATTTATTTATTAAAAAAATACTTGCGTTACCTCAAAGACATTATTGCAGGCTCGACATATTTAGTACCTTATGCTACCTGTTGTATACTGACAAGCAACAAAAATATACAAAACAAAGCTAACATTGAAGTAAACAAGGTATAAAAGGATAGGTTAACATGTTCAAAGGTTACAGAAAGCTCAAACAATGACTAGGACAATTATACATTACTTTAAAGACAATCTGGAATAAATATTAGGATCATCACATAGAGAAATGTAGTTTTTGGTAACAAGTTTCAATCTCGTACAGTTTGTGACTGACATGTTTGCAAGAGCCTCAGTACAGATCAGGAGCATTTATTATGTTCCAAAAATGTATCAGAGCCCCTTTGAGGCATCTTTTATTAGGCTGTCACAATAGATGGGCACGATAATGAAAAGTGTGATAGACCTCTTTTACTTGCTGATGGTTTAAAAACTGACCTGAAAGATTCATGTTCAACAATATAGAACAGTGAAAGTGAACTGAGCACTCTAGGATCAAAGGCTGGGTCAGACCTAGTCGGTACAGCGACATTTTAAAACTGGTAAGTGAACAAAGATGGGGTAAAGATGAGAGACAGAGCGCTTTGTGTGTTGTCGTCTTCTCCCCGCATTTGTACGCTTACTGGTTTCAATATGTCACTGTGGCATAAAGCTTTACAGAGTCCTTTATATGCTCTGTTTTCGTGTTAGTATATATTCATTTATTTAGGATATCTGACCTTAATTTTCTATAACTTTATTCAGTTGGCATAACCTTTCTTTTTTTTTCCTGACTGCATTACTTGTATATGCAAGCTTTTGTTCTGCCCTGTCAATGTTGCTGTAAAGCTTTTGGCACACTGTGGGGACACAAGGCTATCAGGTACAGGCTTTCATTACAGCCCACATTTCTCACTTCTAATTGTGCTCGCCATAAAACTTGTGCTTGATGAAACAATCCAACAAAAACAATCCAAATAAAATGATGTAAGAGTGACCACACAACACTAGCACTGGCAAATAACTGTGTGTTAGTTTATTACACCAGGAAATATATAGCTGAAAAAAGAAACAAGACTAAAACCATCATGTACACATAAAGATGAAATGCAATATGAATCTGCCAATGAGTCAAAGTCTCCCTAGTGAAGCCCTTCAAGACACCCTTTTACTATCTTATGTTTATGGCTTGTTAGAACACAATGGTGCTCATTTACAAATTAATGATTGTGTGGGACCCAGCAGACCATGAAAATCCATGACCTAGGAGAGGAATTGGGAGACAGGTGGAGTTATTCACAATAGCCTGGTAAGGAACGTTACCATAGTTTACATGTTGACAAAGTGCTGCACTGACAAAGACAAGTCTCTCTGTTCAAATGTGGACAATGGTGACATTCCTTGTCTGTCCGCTATTAATTGCACAGTTTATGAGTAGATTCTTAAGCACTCTGTCATTGCGTTAATCAGTGCAGATCAATAACAGCTACTAGTAGTTTTTTTATTGTTACTATCATAACAACCTCATCGAAATAAGACCTGCTGAGAGGTCAGATGCAGCCAGAGACGTTATATTTATCTGAAGTTATGTTGCTTTTAGTCTCTCTTTATTTACCTTTTTTTTTTTTCACTGGAGAGGATTGGGGGGGGGGGGGGGGTTCTAAATGTTACATTTTAAACTTCGTAGATATAATATTTATGCTCATGATGACATTTCTCATTTCTTAAGCATGTTCTCAAGTGGCTTTTAAACATTTATAATAATTGTGAAACATTTATTTGACCCTCCAAGCTTCATAGTTTCAGTCCCTTTTGAACTTCAAGTAAAATTGTTTATGGGGTCTTTAGTATGCTATTCAGATCAACTTCATCATGCAATTCATGTGCTGAAGTTATGTTTATTCATGACTACCGTACAGCTGAGGCATATTTTTGACTTTGCATATTTTTGTATCAAGTGATAGTCTTTGTCTTCGTATTTTACAGTTGTGTTAAACTGTTAAGAAGCATTTGTCTGGTCAAATTTCTGTTTGCAGATATCGTATGGGTCTAGCTCACCTGCACTGTCCAATAGAAAACGTTTTCCGACATTCTTCAGGACGCATCCATCAGCTACTATTCACAATCCCACACGCATCAAGTTGTTTCAGAAGTTCTCTTGGTCAAGAATAGCTATTATTCAAGAAGCTGAAGAAGTTTTTATATCTGTGAGTCTTCTCTGCCCTTGTTGTCTAAAAGTCTATGTGAATTTTGAACTCACTAGGTGCACTGGGATAGCTTGCTCCCATTTTATTTCTAAAGATTTGGCAGGGCTTTAGCCTGGCCGATTTCGGTTTTGTTGCCATACCGTCTAGATCTAAATTTTTAAAAAGTAGATTGTTTTATGGTCTATATGATTGCATTCTGTATTAAATATTTAGTATGTCATTTGCTTATGCGATGACTGAAGGGTTTCATTGGTAATGGTTGAAAAATTTTATTGTACATTTTAATTACTGGGCACTCGTTATTTTTCCTCTTTAACTAATATAAACGGTGCCTGTTTGTGTTGGTAATTCCAAGTAGTTCTTAAAGGGATACTAAAGAGAAACAATGACTTGGTTTAGATTGACAAATTGCACTCTGAGAACTCTAATGCCATGCGTTTCACTATCGTAAGCTCATTATGAGCGGAGAAAATTAAGGTTGAAGTTTAAATTTCACACCAAAATCTCTATGCGCGACGCAAGAAATTTCAAAATGTGTTTCTGTGGTATTCGCCCAATGAAATTTTATGAAACTTGGTATGTAAGTCTATGGCACCCACAGATTACAATGTACTTCTTTTTTATTCATTGTAAGTAACGTAGGACCCAGTAGATGCCTTCACAATTTCTTACGTCATGGTGTTCGGTGCGGAAATGTCAAGATGGCGTCGTCACCCGCATTGTCTTTTCGCGTGTTTTTCACTTACTAAGAGTCGTGTTGCGGTAAGACTGGTGTTTTCGGGATTGTGAAATTGTACTTTACTAATACCCGAAAAATCATTTTGCTTTTTAGTGTCTCTTTAACATGTCACGCCTTTACATGCTGTGGTGTCCTTTCGTGGTGAAGTCAGCAGCACAACAAACTTCTGAAAGAATTTATTCATTTGTAATGCATTGAGAGCCTTTTAGAAATGAGTTGTTCTTTTTAATATTATTTCTATGACAGCATTTGCACAAGAGCAAAATGTAAATGAAATAAAATACAAAAAATGTGGTTGTCAAAAATTAATCTGCAGGCATCTACTGTAGTGTCCCGTATAACCCACTGTATGACCCCACAATTTATTCTTTATCATATCTCATGTCCTGCCTGCCCATCATTTCGTATATTGATTAGTATTTACCTAGCAGGCTATGTATTAAGGCCATGTTTGTGGGCTTTCAAATATTTTTTTTTTTTTTGCTTTTTCAGACAGGTGAAGACTTGGAAGCACGTTGTAAAGAAGCACACATTGAAATTGTTACCAGGCAAAGCTTTCTAACTGACCCCACTGATGCAGTCAAGAACCTTGTGGTGAGTCTTTTGCTTTCGCAGCTTCATTGTTTGCTTCTTCCTGTTCTAGTTATATGTAGTGCATATGTGATAAAAAGATATTTACATTGTCCTTTTTTTTCTACAGAGGCAAGATGCACGAATCATTGTTGGCATGTTTTATGTTGCTGCAGCGAGACGGGTATTTTGTGAGGTATGTACAACTCTTTGATGTGAAATGTGCTGTATTTCATTTTATTTTTATCTATATTTTCATCATTAAAATTGTGCTAGCATGAGTGAGTGTATGAGTGTGGGTGTGTGTATGTGCCTGTGTTTGACAGAGAGAGACAGACAGAGAGCTTGTGTAGTTGTAAAGTGATATCAGTTATGATGTGCACCTGGTCTTCCAAGTCAGTAATACAAAACAAAATGGCCTTGGCCATCCGCTCACCAGTTTTTCTTTGCAAGATGAGTTGTAACATGATTTCTTCAACTTTGATAGGAAATTTATTTCATCTAAGCTGTAGTGAATTGGGCATCACTCATTGTTACTGTCAGACACCTCCTTGTCATTGTAAACAGCGTTATAAGGGCCCCTAAACTACCCAGAAGTTGAAGTGTAGGTGTGGTGTTTTAGTTAAGGTGCAGTCTCCAACAGACACATAGTCATACTAGCCAAGTTACGCATGTTTGGTGAGTGACACATGGCAACCGCTAGTTTTGCTATTTACTATGTTGTTTTTGCCCTATGTTTGTCGGCTGGCCTCCTTTCCCAAAGCCACTTTGCCCTTCTCTCCAAGTGGCCCTCTAAATCTCATGTGACATATGTACGTCATCACTAAGGCACTTCTCTGGTACCACAACTTGGTCAACTCTGTGCTCTTCAGCTGCCCGCTGAAGTTGACATGCCGGCCCATGCTTGCATGAATCGTGCTGGTGTGGGCCCTATGTTGGTTCACTAGCACTTTGACTCTTACCTTATGGGCTGCAGTCACCGATTTGCAAGCATGCACACGCGGGCAGCATGACAAGGAATAGCAAAGAGTTCTGACTGCTGTTTGCAAACTGACCAGAAGCCGTAGATTCTTGTTTGACTAATGGCAGCATTGATTGTTGACAGCATTATATATGCAACATGTTGACATCACAAACATGACTGGGGAATCTAGAATGGCCTGGAAAAAAAGAAGGGATTCTCTTTCCCGCCAATAAAAGCAGTGCAAAAGCACGTCACAGTTCCATGTGCCGTTTCACACACTAGATGGCGTTAGCTGCATCCAGTGGCTTGTTATTGGAGCTCTCTCAAACGAAGACTGAGAGTGGTTAGTAATAAACAGCCTGTAATCATTCATCTGTTGCACGCTGAAGCCAGCAGTGTGCCGTGTTGTGACTAATAGGCCTCCAGCAGCACATTACATTAAAAAAATGCCGCACCATAGTTTTCTGGCAGAACCCCTTTAAAGTGTTGCATCTTTGGTGCCATTCATGGTAGTTCAAATATCACTTTCCCTATACAACTTGCAAGCAATGACAACCAAAAAAATTGTACAGCAGGCATAAAGCCACTGCTGTTCCTACATCTTAGTTCTCTACTGGTCAAATTCTCAAGTTCATGAATTTTGTCATGTTTATATCTTGAGCAATTCACAGAAGTTGTAACCATAATTAGAGCCAGTCGGAATGGACTAGGTGAGGTCTTTGACAACATGGCATAATTTAACAGCATAGATAGGAGTGACATGAGGTTTTAGTTCCATAACTTTAATACACATGGTGATAGTTTGTCACTGTAGTTTTGGTGTTCTACTTGACTGTGCATTTTATGATTTAAACATTTTAAAAATGTGCCAATCAGCATAGAGTAAGCTTATCCAACTGTATTGTAATTGGTATATTGCACAGCACAGGACGTTTCAATATTGGTGAGGTGAGCATTGTATGAGCACCAACTGTGGCTGGTTGGGGTAGGTAGTCTTGAGTGAGCGAGAGCGTGGCCCTTGCCGCATAAAACAGCCTAAGCAGACCATTGACAGGCTTCATTGAAAGCCTTTTCTACTGTGACAAGTTTTAGTGGTGTTGATTTTTAGTCGGACCATTTCTACCTGGTGTGACTGCATGCTTGTCATGGAGCAGTCAGCAAGTCCTTACTTTGTTGTGAAATGTAGGGCCTTACTCACTTGTGAGACCGAAATTGGAAAAGCTTGGTTTATGTTTTGTTCTTACAAAAATTTATGTGCACATTCATTTTCTTCAGAATGTGTCCGTATAATATAACACAGGTCACATTCATTGCACCGCATACATGTAGACTTTATTAAACTAGTTTTTAAAAAAAACATTGATGAGGAGCCACTAAGGCAAAACTTTTGTGCTGTTCTATTAAACTAGTTTTTAAAAAAAACATTGATGAGGAGCCACAAAGGCAAAACTTTTGTGCTGGTTCTAACAGCAGAAGCTGCTCATTCGTGCAGGTTTTGAGTAAGGTTAATTGCTTATGATTCAGGCTTGCAGTGATCTTGTTACTGTTTCAGAATAGCAGAAAGGCAGTTGTTGTCAAGTCCAAGTTGTTCAAATATTGCCTAAAGCTGAACAAAGTTTTAAATGTAACTCATCCTGTATGCATTGTCATCTATGGCTGTAGCACTTTGCATTTATATTTCTAAATAAGAGCAACAGTAGGCACGAGAGACTCTAATTTTGAGAAATACCAGTGTCATCACTGTAAATAAATGCTAGCATTGAGTTATTAAAAGCTAGCATGTGGTCATTTGTTCTGCACATTTACGCTTTTTTTTTATCAATTCAGTGTGCACAACATTTTTGAATTAAAATTTTATCTGATCAAGTTTTGCTACCTAACTTTCTGGGACCCTAAAGCTTCGCCTTTAGGAGTTGGACGTGATAGCGACATCCTGTTCCTAGTGCATACTTTAAACAGTTAGTGCATGAAACCTGTTAGAATTTGCTATGCACCCACAACGTGGTCTCAAGAGAATAGGCACAGTAGCATGTGTGCCTTTTGTAGTGGGGTACCGGCTTTCAACCATGCAGCCATTGTGATAATCACATATTCTAATGCCCGTTGGTAATAGACGCTTGTATCACACATTATTACTGAAATTTTTCATATTGCATTGTGAAGCATGCATAAAGGACGTGTGTGTTTGTGAAGCATGAAAGCTACTTTAACTGCATTTACAAGCAGAGGACGTTCTTTTCACTGTTTTCACAAGCAGAGGCGTGGTCGTATTGTAGAACATGCGCTTACCATGCAAACGACCCGGGTTGGATCCCCACTTGGACCCAAAAAACCCTGGTTTAGTCCCCACTGTGCTCCAGGATTTTTTATTATTTATTTTTTATTTAATTCACATAGTTATCGATTTTTCGGTCATGCATAACATGATGATGTTTCGTTCACAATCAACGACGCCAAGTTTTTGCGAAACGAGCTTTCAACGCTATCGCATTTATAGGAGCAGGCAGAATGAAAGGGCGAACAGGTTTGATTGTAACTGGCTTTGTTTCAGTGCTATATTTTGCAATATTGTAATATATGTTTGATTGTGTTGTAGTGACTCACTTGAAGGGGCCCTTCAACACTTTTTGAGCATGGTCAGAAAATGCTGCTGATTGGTAGTACAGGCTCCAGAGAACAAGCGGGCTAAATATTATAGCGCAGCACGCGGCCTGAAATTCATGCTAACTTCTCAAATTCAGCTAAAAATTGCTTTCTCTTCTCTCAATAAATGACGAAATAAGCTCGAAAATCACTCGTCGCCGCCATTCTATCAGCCATTGGCTGATTTGAACATAGTACGCTCATTACAGAGATCAACCACAGGAGGCCGCGACTTTTCCACGTGTGCACGCACGATTGCTCTAAAAAAGCTGTGTATTCGAAGAACATAAATAAAAATGTGCTCAAGTTCACAAGGGGTGCGTGACATAATTTTTTTACCCGAGCCATCCCTCCCAGTAAACAGGCTCCGACTTTTTTTTACTCCCCCCATACTAGCTCGCCAATTCGTAGATTAGACCGCAGTGAACATGTTTTCTGAATATTACAGTCCTGTGCGTCACGCAGAGCTTCTATTTCAATGAACGATTCCCGCGCATCTTTCCTACACCTGACCGACCCCCCTGCATGCGCAGTGACGTCAACTCGACGATCGGCAACGTGACGTAGCACTCAGCTCGCCAGATGGCCCAATCAGGTGTGAAAAAACAGTAATGAAGTCAACGTCAGTTCCTGTTTCCACCCACAACTACGAAACTGCCCCCTGTTTCTTGGCACTGCAGTGAAAGAACCAGCCTCGCAGTTGTCGCGTGCACATGTACACTCCTCGCTCAACTACAGCGCCTGTGCACACGTACGGACATACTTCACCCTTTACATGAGCAGCACAGGTAAAAACCTTTGCTCTGTCGTCGTCTGCAAATAGAGCGACTGGGCAGTGGAGAAGCATCGGCACCGGGTGCTTCACGATGGGGCCCTGCGCACTGGCTGAAGTGAATTGGCCATCCAGCGACGTATGTCGGGGACCTGATTGTTTGTGGTCGACACTTGGCACCTGACACTTACACGGTTGACCCGCGACTGGTGCGGCAAACGGTAAGCAAACAACCACGCTTCGCAGCAAGTGGATGTGCGTTGCGATTGATTGAGTTCGCCGATGACGTCAATCACTGACAAGTTGTCACGTTGCCGAACTGGGTGGAATCACGATGATGGGCTACGCCTTCCCCTACATGGAAGGGAGAAGGGGGGCGATGCCGCGCGAAAATTTGAAACCAGCTAAGACAGATGCTCTAACCCCTGTAACTTCCTTAATAGAGCACGTATTCGCAAAATTCTTGCGGCAGCATGTTCGCAAAAAAAAAACTGCTCATATAACTCTTTTTAAAAATTTTTAGACCTCATGGTTATTTACTGGCCCTTCAACTTCCACCGTTTTCGTCACGACGAGAGAAGAGAGAATGTGATTGCAGCATGCGAAAAATTATTGTAACTTCACTCATACTGGACGGATTCTAGAAATTTTTGTGGCAGGTGACTTTGTGAGGCAATAAGCTCTTTAGCAAATCTATTCCATGGCTACTTAGAAAAGTTTCACCGGGCCCCTTTAAAGGAGCACTGGTTTACAGTGCTTGTCTGCATAAGTTGGCCAACTAAAAAAAAAAATAATGAGAAGACTTTTTTGAAACTCTTTTTTATGGGGGTATTTTGATCAAAATGAGGCAAATACTGCTATAGTGCGTTTTTATGTGAAAGCTTGTATGCTGAGTTGTGCAATCATTGGTCAATAAAGTGAGATTTCTTGAGTAGCTATTTACAATTTATTTGATTTGCAGGCATATAAACAGAATGTTTTTGGCAAGCAGTATGTTTGGCTTCTAATTGGGTGGTACGAGGATGGATGGTACACAGTCCAAGACAAAGGCCACAACTGCACTACAGAGCAGATGAAAGAGGCCCTGGAAGGGCACTTCACCACTGAAGCTCTTATGCTCAATCAAGGATCCCAGGAGACGATCTCGGGAATGGTATGTGTGTTGCCAACTTTATATGCAGCTGCTGAAAAGTTCTTTGCCTCTTCAATATTCTAGCGGATATAACAACCTTACAACAAGGATGTCCTATTCACAAGTTTTAATAAGGGCGAACTTGTGTCCAAAGCCAAAGGAATGACACAGCAGCTGGTTAAAGGAACCACACGTCCGTAGTCCTCGCGAACCTCTGCCTTGAGCACCATCGTTTTTGTCTTCACGCGCGCTGGCCACTCGGTTGAAGCTCGTGCGCATGCAGGACCCGCTCGCCCATTGCGGCTGGCTTCGTCTCTTGTAGCGGTGCCGTCAGCGCTTCTCTTGTTAGCGATGGTGATCAATGGCAGTTTCTCGTGGCTTTACCCCTACTCTCAAGTGGCATCGCCCCGATGCGTGCAATGCGGTTGTAGTATAGCAAGTGGTTGGTTGGCTAGTCTTCGTATCGGTCATAGTAGGGCTTCATGCATACAATGCGTACGCGCTCCGTGGGAATGCACGTGGCCTGCAGGCTCGACTTTATAAACAAGGTCACTGAGTCGGTGTACTATCTCATATGGGCCAAAATATCAGCTAATGAGTTTTTCAGACAGGCCTCGTCGGCGTACTGGGGTCCATATCCACACTTTGTCGCCAACATCATACCGCATTTCACGCCTTCCCCGGTTGTAGCGGTCGACGTCGAGCCGTTGTTGGTGACATATTCGGTACCTTGCTAACTGGCGGGCCTCTTCCGCTTTTTGTATAAGGTTGTCCAGATCAGGGGGATAGTCATCTTGGTCTATCGGTAACACGGCGTGTAGAGTTGTGGTAACTGCACAACCGTAAACTAGTTGAAACAGGGTAATCTTGGTGGTCTTTTGTACAACGGTGTTGTAGGCAAAGGTGACATATGGTAAAATTTCGTCCCAGTTTTTGTCCTTGACATCAATATACATAGATATAATTTCAGCAAGAGTTCTGTTAAGACGCTTCATCAGGCCATTGCTTTGAAGATGATATGCGGTTGTTTTTCTGTGAATAGTGTGAGTCATACTGAGAAGACACTTCGTAAGTTTCGCTGTGAAAGCTGTTCTGCGATCGGTGATTACAACTGTTGGAGCGCTATGCTGGAGAACTACGTTGTGTACAAAAAATTTTGCCACTTCAGCCGCCGTTCCCCATTCCAAGGAGTCTCTTTCGGCGTATCTCGTTAAGTAATCGATCGCGACCACGATGCATTTCCTGCCGAAGGAAGACATCAGGAAGGGTCCAAGGAGGTCCATTTCAAGTTGTTGGAAAGGCGCTTTCGGTGGGTGGGTCTCTAGGTTGTAGAAGGCCCGCCAGTTTAGTACTAGGTGTTTTTCGTCTTTGGCATTCACAGCATGTCTTAACATAGCGCTCTGCTGAAGCTAGGAGCTTGGGCCAACAGTAGTGCAGACTGATTCTTGCAAGCGTTCGAGTCACGCCCAAATGTCCAGACGTGGGCTCATCGTGGCACGCTCGTATTATTTTTTGTCGCATAGTTGTAGGAACGACAAGCAGGAACTTTTCGTGGTTGGGCCTAAAGTTTCTCTTGTAGAGAACATTTTTTCGGAGGCAAAACGATGCGAGGCTTTGGGAAAATATACGCGGCACTTGTGCGTCGACTCCTTCCAGGTGTTTGATGAGAAGGAGCAATTCCTCGTCAGCGCGTTGAAATTCGACTATTTGAGTAGTTTCGACAATACCTACGAACAGAAAGTCCTCGTCTTCTGATAGTGCTGTGTCTACAGGCGCCCGTGACAAACAGTCAGCATTGGTATGCTTCCTCCCAGATCGGTATACCATGGTTATATCATATTCTTGCAGTTTGAGGCTCCATCTTGCTAGTCGTCCAGATGGATCCTTGATGTTCGCCAGCTAGCAAAGGGCGCGATGATCGCTGACTGCCTTGAATGGCCTACCATATAGGTAAGACCGAAATTTACTGATGGCCCAGAGAAAACCAAGACATTGCTTCTCTGTGGCCGAATAGTTGGTCTCTGCTTTTGTTAGAGTCCGGCTGGCGTAAGCTATGACCTTTTCTTCGCCATTCTGCCGCTGTATTAGAACGCGTCCTAGGCCGATGTTGCTCGCATCTGTGTGTGTTTCCGTGTCAGCCGTCTCGTCGAAATGAGAAAGAATTAGATGCTTTTCCAACCGTTTTCGTAATTCATTGAAGGCGCTCTGTTGCTCATTTTGCCACTGAAAAGGCTCATCTTCCCTCATAAGTTTCGTTGAGGGCGCTGCGATTTTCGAGAAATTTTGGGCAAACCCCCTGTAGTAGGCACACAGACCTAAAAAATCTCCGTACTGACTTTTTGTCTGTTGATACCGGAAACCTTGCGACCGCAGCTGTCTTTTCGGGATCAGGTCGAATGCCTTGGGCACTGACAACGTGCCCAAGAAACCGGAGTTCTTCGAAGCCAAACTGGCACTTCTCAGGCTTTATAGGCAAGTCTGCCGAACGGATAGCCTCTAACACAGACTGAAGGCACTTCATGTGCTCCTCGAATGTTGCGGCGAAGATGAGCACGTCGTCTACGTACACTAAGCAACACTGCCACTTCAATCCGGAAAGTGCAGTGTCCATCATGCGTTCGAACGTTGCCTCGGCGCGCAACAGAGTCCAGAAGGGAGAACCTTAAATTCAGACAGTCCTTCCAGGATAATAAACGCAATCTTCTCACGATCACGTTCATCAACTTCCATTTGCCAGATTTGCCAACTTCGATTTGCCGATCCACTCTTGAGATCTAGTGATGAAAAGAACTTTGCACACCGAAGTCGATTTAATGTGTCGTCGATGCGCGGAAGGGGTTACACATCCCGTTTAGTCACAACATTCAATTTTCGGTAGTCGACACAAAACCATAGCGTGTTATCCTTCTTCTTGACAAGCACCACAGGAGATGCCCGCAGACTATTAGAAGGCTGGATAACATCATCTTGAAGCATCTCCCGTACTCGATTCTTTATAACTTCTCTTTCCTTCGCTGAAACACGATACGGGTTCTGGCATACTGGCCTGGTTTTCGCATCCGTTATAATCCTGTGTTTCATAATCCTCGTGCGCTGTACCTTTGAACTATTGGAGAAACAGCTGTGGATTCCCGTACTAGGTCATATAGCTGTCGACGCTGAATCGCTGAAAAGTTAGGATTGACAGATATGACGTCACAGACGTCAGATGTTAGTTTCATATCGGTTGGTGTAGTTTCAAGACTGCTTATTTCTGTCATTCCACCTAACTCATCAACAAAGGCTTTGGTCGTTCCCTTTGCAATGTGTTGAAATTCGTTCCCAAAGTTTGTGACGAGAATGTCTGCACACTTGTTCCGCAGTTTGATAATCTCTCGTGCTAAACAAACACCTCTGTTCAGGAAAACATTCATGTTGCAGTCTACCACACCTTCATAGTCGCTAAATGCATCATTTCTGACAAGAACCATTACACTGCTTTGTGGCGATACCGTTACACCATTATCGATGACCCGTAGTGGAGTGTTGTATTGCTCCTCTGCTCGTGCGGCTCTTATAGCGTGTTCCGTCGAAAATGACGCGCTTGACCTCTGCAAATTGATAATAGCACCATTAGCTTGTAGGAAATCCATTCCGAGTATGGCTTCCCTCGAACACACGGGCAGGACGACAAAGTCCCCGACCCCCGTATCACGACCCTTGCGGTACATCGGCCGAAAGGGGTTATGAGGTGACTGCCTGCAGTACGTACTTGAGGTCCACTCCATTCAGTCGGAACTTTCCCCAGTCGCTTCACTAATTCGTAACTTATCACAGAATAATCGGCACCAGTATCGGTCAAAGCATTGAGCTCTAGTCCGTCAATCACCAACGGCAAGTCTGAAGTAATTTTCTCTCTACTGCACTCCTTTACCTGGAAACAGTCGTCGTCGTCACGCTCGTATCGCAGTGGAGGATCTTCATATCCCAGGTCGCGAGCGGCCTCGCCTCCACAGGTCGCCCTCTTCAGTTTCCCAGATTTGGGCTAGGCGAACAATGCCTAGACGTGCTTGGGAAGGGACGTGGGCTGGAGGAGCGGTAGCCCATAGGGGATGGTGAGCATGGTTGATGACGATGAGGCAGGTTGAAGTTCCAACATGAGCATAGGTATTCTTCAATATTGGAAGGTCTTTAGCTGTCTTGCGGACACGTTGCGTTGATGGCGAATCCCCTAAGATCAGCTTGACGATATCGGCAGAATCGGTACCGGTGGCGAGCCTCTCCGCAGTGGAAGCACAAGGGCCTACGTGCGGTATTTCGCCATACATTGCTCTTCCGTGGCATTGTCTCTGTCGCATGAGGTGGAGTGCGTGCTGCCTCTACGCTTTCAGGCTAGCTGCGCATTGTCTGCACATAGGTACTTGATGTCTCGATCGGCGCACAGTGCAGAGCAGGTCGCCTGAGCATCTCAGAGTACATTGCTGCCCGTCCTGTCGCTGGCACATCACTCCGCGATTCCCGCATGGCCTGCTGAATTTTTTCTCGGACAACTTCAGCAAGAGACAGCTCGGGGGTGACGTCAGGTGACTGCAGTTTCCTTAATTCCTCCCTGACAACAGACCGGACGAGCTCCCGCAATGTGTCAAGATTATCCACGACGCCTGCGGAGTAGACTCCTGCTGATGCACTAGCTACGTCGCAGTTGTACTGTCGGGCTCTCTGCTGCAGCGTCATTTCGAATTGCGGACGAGTCTCGCGGACAACTCTTGCTTTACCCCATGCATGAGGTGGTGCACCTTCTTGTCTTCCGTCATGCCAGGATCAGCTCGCTTGAAAAGGCGGGACATACCTTCGATGCACATCGCGACAGTTTCGTTTGTTCGTTGATTCCGTGTATGAAGAGCTGCTTCCGCCTTTTCCCGGCGATCACTGTTAACGAACATACTCAGTAGCTGCTGCCGAAATTTTTGCTGCGAGGTCAGAGATGCCTCCTAGTTTTCGTACCACACTCGCGCAGAGTCTTCCAACGCAATGTAGACGTTGCGCTGCTTGTTCTCCTCGTTCCACTGATTTAGATTTCCCACTCTCTCGAAATGCCCTAACCAGTCTTCGGCGTCCTCGTATGGGTCACCGTGAAACACCTTTGGAATGACAGGTTGGCTTACGATGAGTTGTTCCGGCGTAACTTGGCTCGTCATAGTGGTGGTGTCACTTGTCTCTGTCACCGATGTCCTTGACACAGAAGGAAGTGGTCCAAATTCTGGCGATTCTCCTCGGATACGATGACTGACTCGTTGGTGTACCGGTGTAAGCTCCACAGGATGCGGCTAGTCAGTGCTTGGATTTCACTCTCGTGTGTGGCTCGGAATCATTTACCCAGCGCCTCCACCAGAAAATGTAGCAGATATAACAACCTCACAACAAGGATGTTCTATTTACAAGTTTTAATAAGGGCGAACTTGTGCCCAAAGCCAAAGGAATGACACAGCAGCTGGGAAAAAAAACCCGAACGTCCGTAGTCCTCGCGAACCTCTGTCGTTTTCGTCTTCACGCGCGCTGGCCGCTTGGTCGAAGCTCGTGCCCATTGCTCGGGCGCCCATTACTCGGTCGCCCATTGCGGCAGGATTCATCTCTTGTAGCGGTGCCTTCAGCGCTTCTCTTGTTCGCGATGTCTGCACTGAGCGTTGGCAGTTCCCTGTGGCAATATGATGAATGAATAAACAAAGCTGTTAAGCCGCATGTGTGCATGCACGCACATGTGTCTGTCTGTCTGTAATTGTCCGTCTGTGCATGTGTACACGTGCGTTCATGCGTCGCAATGGCCTACTTTAAAATACTGCTTTCTTGTAGCTGTTTTGTTTTTAACATAAAAGGCTTTTTCCTTCATCTGATATGATCGACAGACAGTCTATTCAGTTTATTCACGGCAGTAATTACCTTGACAGCCTTTTTATACTATCATATTTTGCTGCAAAGACTAAATTATTCTCTCCTAGGACTTCCTTTAATCTGCCGTGATATTTTGGAAAGTAATTGGCATTCTATGTGGCAGTGCTAATTCTGGGTTACTATGGCTTTCTTGAACAGTGGAGAGACGTGTTAATAACACTGATTGGTTATCAGTCATTCTTTATTTTTATCTACCAATATAATTGTCTTTCATGTAGAGTAATGAACTTCTGCATAATGTTGGCATCAGTTCTACAAAAGCTTTCCTAAATGCACTTTTATTGTGCAAACTGCTGCAACTTTAACCCTAATGTTTTCTATATATATTCTTAATGCTTCTACAGATGATTTAGTCACGGTTTGAGGGTGAAGGGGCTGATAAACGGAATCGGATGCTGTTGCCACACAGTTCGACCAATGCTATCTACACTGCATTCTTTTCTATTTATGTATTTCATGTAATTCCTTGATAGTTCTTTGTGACAGAAACTTGTTTTTAACTATCCAGTGTAGCATTTGCTTTTGTGGCAGAAAAATAATCCTGGAGTTTTATGTGTGATATCCAGGATCTAATTATGGATTGGACACAACATAGGTGACTCTGAAACAATTTTCACCACGTTGGATTCATTGATGTGTACCTGGTTCTACTATGTGAGCATTATTTATGTCACCACAATCGAAATGTGGCTACCATTGTAATGGTTGAACTCATGGACCTCAAGCTTAGCAGCAAAACTCTGTAGCCATTTAGCTATTGTGGTGTGCAACAGCATAAAAGGTGTACGTCCAGACAGTGTTAGTATACTACCTTGTGTTTGTTGCTGTTTAACAAAATGTAGAAGAACTTAGTTTGTTGAGCATCAGAACACTGATCACAGCATGTTTTTCACTAACGCGCATTACTGTCTGCATTGTGTTCAGAGCTCACAGCAGTTCCTGGAGCGCTATGAACGAGCACTTGCCGAACAAAATGGAGGCCTGCAGGGCTACAAACCTGAAGGGCATCAGGAGGCACCCCTAGCTTATGATGCCATCTGGGCAATTGCATTAGCACTCAACAAGACCATCAACACCCTGCGTGAATACTCTATGAGTATTGAGGACTTCACTTACACCAATCACAAGATTGCTGATGAAATCTGGTCAGCCATGAACGCCACTCAGTTTCTTGGTGTCTCGGTGAGAACTTATTTTTCGCTCTTGCCACACATTGGCGTATTCGTATGGAGATTCTTTTCACTTGGTTTTGTGCTACAGTGTTATTGTTAGCTAGGAAATGCTCAGTACAAAGGGGAAAGGTTAAAGGAACCAGTATGAAGTAAAACAAGAACAGAATCAAAAAAAAATTTTCAGTATTGAGATGTTCATGGTCTACTTTTCTTTTTCTTTTGTCACCCTTTCTAGCAACTACTATTTTAAGTTATGTAGTATGTAGTACCTATATCAGGCTGACCAAAACCACTTTCATCAAAGAGCCTTGTTCACAGAGGATTGTGTAGATGTTCATTTCACCAAGTAGGAGATATAGAAAAAGGTTAGGTTGGCAGATTAAGCTATAACAGGTAACAGTTGGTAAAGGGATAGGTAGCCCGGTATTTTTGTGTCATGACTGTGCAGTGGGTGTCATCTCGCTGTAGATATCGAATGTGTCATTAATTACCTCTTGTGAAAGCACTTAATCCAGCCTTTTTCTTACTAATAGACAATTTTCTGAGTACTTTTTCTTGTGATAGTAATTATATGAACCCTTAAGGCACAATTATGCCCTCAAGCATAGGCTTAAATGAACTATACAGATACACAATGCATTTAGTCGCAGAAAGGATGAAGCCAAGTGGACACGCTATCACACTCGAGTGTGTCTGTTCTGCTCAACTCCGCAGTATAGCCAGGGCAGTGTTCTACGCTCCACTGCCAACTGGAGCGTTGTGGTCATTCACACTGATGGTCTATTATGCAGGCATGTCCATGCACAAATACAAGTGTACTCTGCATCAAACAGTAAGCTAAGTTATCTAATATTCTATTATATCAGTCTCATCATCTCAGGTGCCATCAAGATATGTATCTGCAGCCATTGGTAGCGCTTGTTATGTCAGCATTGTAATGTGCCCAATAGCGACCAGGGTACTAGTTGTACTTCAGCGCGGCAGTTTTCTCGCATGTTTTGCCATGCCATAGTGTGACCCCTACATATTGTTTTGAGCATAATTTGAAAGGCTTGAATGCAGCACTCAACCTTGTCATCGCTTATCAGTGTTTCACCCCTTAAACAAAGTTGAATTTTTTTTTATGACACTTCTTTATTTCTAACACAGCCTTAGATGTTTTGTTTCCCCCAGAAGTGTGTGATAATGGATAAATAGTGCTGTTCCCCAGAAGACCATGTGGGAAGTGCCATAAGTGTGTCACTGCATTAATCGCTGTTCCAGTAGCGATTGGACAACTTCACGCTCTTAATCAACTTGAAGCCTCATGCAAGGTTTTCCGACACTGGTACTAAGTGGTGATACCCATGAAATGGTTGGGATAATCAGAGGATATATCCAAATATTTTTATAAGAAAGGGCTCAAGATGTACAAAATATGTTGTATGTTGTTGCATAAGTAACTTCGTCTGAAAGTTATTGCATTACAAAAGAAACCCTTTGTTATACAGGTAATTTCCTTGAGGGGGTTTACATCAACTATATTTTTAATAGTTTTGCTTTGAAGCTACTGATAAGATTAGCATTAACCTGAAAGTTAACCGTATGTGCTTCGACAGTGCTTTGTCATTGGCATTTATTCTGCAAGACACAGTTCTTTTCTAAAGATTGCCATTATTTGTGTTTGCTGTTTTTGCAGGGATTCGTTGCCTTCTCAGCAAAAGGTGACCGCATGGCTTGGACACTCATTGAACAAATGATTGGTAAGTGCACTTGCCTTGAGCTTGTTCTCTCAATAAAGTTCATGGAATGACCGCAAAAGTTAATGTGGTGATTTTCCATCTCCACTTTATTCACCACCAGATGGAAATTATGTCAAGATTGGTTATTTTGATACCCAGACTGATAATTTGACAATACTAAACCAAGAAAAGTGGACAGGTAAGCAACCTTATTGGTGTTGTCCTCGTGCTGTGTCTATTATAGTACATTTAAGCATTTTTTTTAATCTGCTATAAAAGTCGCATTACAGGGCTTCTTTGAAGAGATGCGATTCTCATAGTTCTCATCATGTTTCTTGCTTATGTTTCGTGCACCTCAAGAGGTTATATCAAAATTTCTAGGGTACACAACTGTTCAAGCGTCTAATATCAGCTTTTAGTAAACTGAAGTCAAGGTTGCAGACAAAGCCTAGCTTTTTTAAAATTGCGAGACTCAGCAGTGAAATGAGGCAAAAGGCAAGGAAAATGACATGGACACTTCGCTATCAGCACAGTCATTCAGTCGCTTACTCATGTTGCTCATTACTCAGGTCGCTTCAGTGCTAAAATCATACTTCGGGCTGGCATTCTTTTGTTGCTTTTGTCAGATGTGCAGGCACTAAAGAATAAAATTTAGGCACCTGCACAAATGAAGCTGCAGGGGTGGAAGTTCTCTCTTTTCAATTTTGACTCTTAAAGGAAACCATATGACTGACTAGTACAACTCCTATCATTTGTGCACGAAAGCTATTTTTAAATGGATCATATGTGGGCTGTAGACTCGTGTCTGTTGTTGATTGGCCTGAAATTGACCAATAGACCCCGTTTCAATTTTTACTTGTAAAACGTGATGGTGATTGCACAACTTTTTTTAATTTTTGTAACATGCCGCTAAAGGCATCATACAAAAATGTCACTGATGAGGCACTGTAGCAAAGTTTCACTGAAAACAAAAGACTGGTTCTTTGAAGTAGAAGAGGGTGGAGTTTCAAACTATTATTATCTGAAATTTTTTATGATAATACTGTACGAGACTTACCAAGAAATTATAAAAACTCTAATGCAAAGATGCAAAGAGGGCCTAGAAGGCAATCGAAAATATTACATAGATATAGGTTTTTAAATAATGACATACAAGCCACACTCCCTTAGTGTGCATATAAAAAATCAATTAAATATAATTATTTATTCAATAAATAACAATATTTAGCTTCGACATTATTGTTTAACTAACACAATTTAATTACATACCTTTGATTTTTAAGGCAGTCTTTCTTTATCCGTATGCAGCCAGAATGTAATGTTGTAAGGTTAGTAGAAAAGCAAGAAAGTAGCCTTGAAAAAAAAAATGCCATCTGCCATACAGTGTTGAATGCGCCAGTTCTCGTCCGATCACCGAAGCTAAGCAGCACTGGGCTTGGTCACTACTTGGGAGGGAGCCTTGAAAAAGGAAAAAAAAAATGGTGTGAGTAGTGGTAAAATGCTTCACATTAAAGACTAGTTCTCAGTCTCTTCTAATCTAAGTCTAATAGGGTATTAGCCTCTTCTACATAATTCAATAAATTGAGTAAAATGAACATTAGAACAGGAGCATGAACATGGTAAGATAACATGCTTCTCTAGAGTACCGTGCTTCTCAAAAAGAGAGTGGTGACCAGTGAACTAACAGATGACAGTTTTTAAAGTGGGAATATTATGGCGTATTCGGTAGGCCGCTTTAGTCCTCTGGCTCAGAGTAGCCAGATGCAGAGGCAGCTCGCAATTGAAGCATGAGAGGCAGCGCACCAACGGAATACATCTGCGATATCTGAGTGCTTAGAGCAGCCCGCCTGTAGCGTCATCGTGCAGCCAGCATGGGAAGCTGCCCGATAAACATTACTGCACCACGTCAACAAATAGTGGCGGTTAGTTCAGTGGGCATCTCAGACATGTCTGACCTTTCTTATATTCTTTCTCTCTCTCTCTGTCTCACATATGTAGCAAAAGCCTTCTGCGCTCCGCAGATAAATCTGGTGATTGCCCTCGTCTGAGCTGCCATCTTCAAGGCAAATCACGAGGCTGTCTGCGAGCTGCTGTAATGACAGCATTGACGTTTCTGCCGCCTTCGCCTGTTGCCTCGTTATTGACATGAGTCATTTATAGCTTCGTAGATGTGAATTCACCCCATGCATGAGCAAAAATTCCACTTCCCAAAATGCATACTCGCGCTCCTCACCTCGTTCACCTGCCGGTAGCCACGTGATTGGCTGGATTGTGTCACGTGATCCATTCTCCCCGTCAGATCACGCCAAGCTCTCACTTCGAAGTTGGAGCGGTCAGGAGCGCTCTGGAGTCAGAGGCTGACGCTCTGGAAGAACCAACCAAAGGTAGTCCGAGCGCTTGAATTTTACCAACCAAAGGCGCAGCCACTTTTCGGAGCGCTCCAGAGCACTCGAAAACACCCAACCGAATACGCCATTAGAGTTCCTGTGCAGAGGAGCCTTGCTATGCCTGGACATTGCAACATTTCATTTCAAGACAGCAAAAAATGACCAAGTGTATAGTCCAGCCATTACCACCACTATGGCGTATGCAAAAACACTCACATCTCATCATTTTCTTGTGTGATGTACAGCAGCATAGTAGTATCTGTGGGGAACAGCATGTGCAGCAAATTTTTTTTGGGCTTAATATTGGTTACAATTTTACCCATTCACTCACAGCTTACTACTGCTCTCTTCTTTTATCCAAGCAGCACCCTGATACTACGTATTTCTCCTGACCAACCCTGAATACTGCTTGCAGGCCCTTGAGTTTGTGACAGGTCAAATCGGGAAGCCATTTAGTGTATCCAGAATAAGGAGGGTGGAGATGTATCATGCACAAGCATAGTTCTTGTGCATCACTGCACGACAAAGTTCTATCACTGGAGCAGAGGCCAACAATGCCTTGTGGTGTAATACCAACCAACAAATAACAAATAAACAAATAAATGTCTTTGTTTGTCTTGGTATACATCTATAGATACTACGCTCTTTTCAGCCAGCCTTTATCATTTGGAGAGAATATGGGCTTGAATGTCACCATAACTGCACAAAAACACTTCTTGCTTTAAAAATTTACAGCCATGAGCTGAAACACTGTGTGTCTGACTTGCAGATGGGAAGCCACCTCAAGACCGTACAATCATAGTTCGAGTGCACCGCAAAGTGTCACTGAGTCTCTTTGCTGGAATGTGTGCTGTGGCCTTCATCGGTGTTGTCTGGGCAGTTGGCCTGCTTATATTCAATTGGATATTCAGGCATTCCAGGTGAGACTTCTGTGGGCGTATTAGCAGTTTACTTTTTTTTAAACAGCAAGAGCAAATGTACAATGTGCCTACCAAGCCATCTGTCGCTGTTACCATCAGTCGCTTACAGCGCCTTTCTTTCCCATGTAGCACTGCACCACCAAAGGGCCACTTGGTGTGTTAAAGTGCACTCACTTAAAATAACACAGTTTGTCCCTGTAACGGGGGTATAGCACACTGTTGCTGGGGGCATTGCAGTTGTGTGTATAAAGAGAAATATCAAAATATATATATATATTTGTGTATATAAAGAGATGCCAAAAAAAAAGAAAAAAGCTGTATTTCAGGAAGTCGCAACCTAAATGGAGGTGCTGTTTGCGGTGTTCTACAAATATAGAGGTGGAACAGCTGTGCCATTTACGCAATTGTGAACCAAACTCGTCTCTTAGTACTGTACTGCGTCGCAGCACCCGAATTTAGTCACAAAATGTGACAGCCATCAAATGCCGTGTCCGGAAACCTAGCTGAAACATAGTCTTTTCGGTTTCGTCAAATCGGTCATACTTTCGGTTTCGTCGAGGCTGTGATCACTCCAGTAGCAGCTGTTAACATTGATTCTGAAGGCATGGTTGAAATCACTATGGGCGCGCTATCATGGCAGGCATCAATGCAAATGGCTCATGAACCCGTCTACATGTTGCACTTTCAACAGTAAGAGGTTGTGAACGAAGCAACTCTCCCTGGCGGGGCCGTATTTTCTTACACAATCATTTTGTAAAGTAACACGATATCAGATCTAAAAAAGTTGGCTGCCAGCCTTACAATTTGTTGCTATCGCATTGATTGCTTCACCCTTCCAGCACAACTGTGTTTTCATATACCGTATTTACTCGCATAATTTGCGCACTTTCTTTTGCGATTTTGGGGCCCCGAGAAGGGGGTGCACAAATTACGCGGGAATTTCGCAAGCACATTCGAAATATTGTGTCGCAGTCCTAACATGTGCAGTATATACATTTAATTAAATAGAGAAATAAATTGGAGCACAAACAGAGTATACTTGTTAATATTGAAATAATTAGCACATACTTTAACCGGTCAGATCCGGTCCTGCGCGGTCTAGCGGGAATCACTGATTGCAAAGTCCGATTGGGAATCATCATCACAGCCGCTGCCACCGCCCTCCCGAAGTGCATCGTCCTCGGTTCCGTCGAGCCCCGCCGCGGTGGTCTAGTGGCTAAGGTACTCGGCTGCTGACCCGCAGGTCGCGGGTTCGAATCTCGGCTGCGGCGGCTGCATTTCCGATGGAGGCGGAAATGTCGAGGCCCGTGTGCTCAGATTTGGGTGCACGTTAAAGAACCCCAGGTGGTCAAAATTTCCGGAGCCCTCCACTACGGCGTCTCTCATAATCATATGGTGGTTTTGGGACGTTAAACCCCACAAATCAATCAATCGGTTCCGTCGAGTGCGTTCGAACGCCCCATTTTCGTGAAGCTTTTTCAACAATGCTGGCAAAAACTAGGTCCCACGACACGGCGATACCAGAAGAACTAAGCATCCACTCATAATTGAAAAGTCCTCCTTCAAGGGCAGGAAACATGCAATAGCAGGCGTGCTCTCTTTAGCTTTCTCATGTATTGATCGCTCCGGTTGTCACATTAAAGTACGTCTCCTTGCAAGTGCTTTGCGGCGGCACGCTTCCCGTTTTCTGCAGCTAAATTTACAACAGCAAGCTTCAGTTTCGCCGTATATATAATTACCATAGCACATCACATGGGAACTGTCAAAACATGCCGGCCAGGGGGCGAAACCTAAACTTCCAAAATTGATCAAGCGTGCGTTGTAGCGCTGAGGCAGACAACAAGGGGAACAGTTGGCGCGACAGACCCTCGCACGCCTCCGATGCAGATAGTCGTCCGTGCCGTGACGCGAGCATGCATAGAGATCGGGAAATAGGGGGAGGCAACGCTCGAGCAGTTCCGGCGTCCCGTCAACAGGTGTGTGTTCGAGTGCAGAGTGTGGCATTCTGGGACCCTAGTTCGTGGGAAGTCCTCCAAGAAGTAGGGACTTCGCACTCAGCCTATTTGACTGCTCTCGTATGCTCAGCGAGACGTTCATCCGGCTGAAGCATCGAAAGGGTCTAGAGGTGCGCGCGCCAGCGAGCTAGCTTGAGCGGGTCAGGGAGCGTGGAATATGCGAGTAAATACATATTTTTTTTTTTTTCGGAAAGCTGGTAAAATGTTAAGGGTGCGCAAATTATGCGTCTAAATACGGTATATTTATTTATTCAAAATACTGTCACTCCCGTGATGGGATTATGACACCACAGGAGTGGTGTCACATTGTACATTGTAAAAACAAGCAATACACAGACTAAAAATACATGTTGCAAGCACTTGAAATTTGAAGCGAATATCTCAAACATAGTGCAAAATTCGCCGTAGTGATAGGCAAAGAGTCTATGAATATTGCCACAGGCATGGAACGAGGTTTAGCCATGCCAATGCGAGTATGTGCCATGGTGTGAAAGAAGAAGAGGACGGTTGGTGTGTGCTCGTGCTCTAATGTTCGGTTCGGCTCGACGTCTAGTGCTGCTCCTGTGAACAGACGTTCTGGTCGTTCTGTGATCACGTGACATTTTCTGGTGGAGGTGCTGGGTAGTGTTGTATGCACTGCAATCAGCAGCAAGGTCCCGGCACTAGTCGCGACTTGGAAGAACCAGCTGACCTACGGGGTAGCAGGCGACAACTAGGCCTACCTCCTGAATTCAGACAATTTCCACAACTCGGCAGTACTATGGCTAGTGCGGGAACGCAAACCCAAGAAACATCAACGCTGCCTCCTCCATGGTTCTTCAACGTCCCGCGTACTCCGAAGCCGTTCCGTGGTGACTCTTATGAGGACGTCGACGACTGGCTTGACGACTGCAACCGTTGCGGCAGCGTCAACGAGTGGAACGAGCAGCGAAAGCTTCGGTATGTCTACTTTTATCTCGAGGACTCTGCGCGCACTTGATTCGAAAACCATGAAGCCACTATGACAACCTGGCCAGAGTTTTGCAACCAGTTGCGAAATACCTTCCGAAGCTCTGACCGAAAGGAGCAAGCAGAACGGCTCCTCAATTCCCGAAACCAGCGTCCTAACGAGAGTGTTGCCATGTTCGTTGAGGACATGACGCGGCTGTTCAGGCGAGCCGACTCTTCAATGACGGAAGAGAAGAAGGTGCGCCTCCTAATGCGGGGAGTGAAAGAGCAGCTGTTCGCGGGACTAGTGCGGAACCCTCCCAGCACTGTAGAGGATTTCCTCCGCGAAGCCACGACAATGGAGAGAATGCTAAGGCAGCGTTCGTACCAGTATGAGCGTCCTGGCAGTCTTTCGTCAGTGTCGTCAGCCCTACCAACACCTGACGTCACGACTGTAAAAGACCTGACGGAGCTCGTGCGCAGTATTGTGTGCGAGGAGCTGCAAAAGCTGCACGTGGTGTCTTCTCCGCCCCATGTTGCTGCTCTAACGGATGTCGTTCGCGAAGAGGTCCAGCAGCTGGTGCACCCCATGACGACTCTGCGTGCAGCCGAAGTCCAACCCATGACGGCCCCGCGTCCAGCCGAGGCTCCGCTATTAACGTACGCGGAAGCACTACGTACTCCTGCACCGGCTGTTGGCTATCCGTCCCGTCCGTCCACCCTGCAGACGGCACCGTCGTTCTACTCGGGACCGCCGCAGTACGGCAACACACCCCTTACACGGAAATGCAGTGTATGGCGTGCTCCCGACAACCGGCCTCTATGTTATCACTGTGGTGAACCAGGTCACATCTATCGTGAGTGCGCCTACAGGCACATGGGTCTTCCCGGCTTTCGTCCGGATGCTCGTCGACCCAGAGATGGTGAGCGGCCCCGTGCTATCGCCGAATACTTGGCAAGCCAACGATCCTCAACTCTTCCCCGTCGCCAATCCCGCTCACCATCTCCACGGCGTTCCACGTCACCTGGCCAACAATCAACTTTTGCGGACGTCCTTGCAAGAAGATCGCCTAGATCCACAAGCCCGCGCTGGGGAAACTAAGAACAGCGACCTCTGGGGGTGAGGCCGCTGTTGATCGACCGTTACAAGACCCTCCCCCGATTTGCCTGCTGACATCCGACGACATTCTTTCACCGACGTGTGCCATCGATGACAAACGAGTCTCTGCTCGTATCTCTGTTCTTGTCGACAACCACCCGCTGACCGCTCTGGTAGATACGGGTGCCGATTATTCTGTTATGAGCGCTGACCTCGCTGCACAGCTAAGAAAGGTAACGACACCTTGGGGACATGGAACCAACCTCCGGACTGCGGGAGGTCACCTATTGACACCGCTAGGAGTGTGCACTGCCCGCCTCCGAATTCGTGAGTCGACGTACATTGTTTCCTTCGTTGTATTGCGCGAATGCTCCCAAAACCTGATTCTCGGAATGGATTTTCTCCGCGAGCATGGAGCCATTATTAACCTTCGCGACCTGCTCATAACGTTATCTAACGACCATACAGCCCTACGAAAGGATGCAGTTGCGCCGACCACAACACTTCGAATTGCTGACGACACCATCGCACTGCCGCCGCGAGCCAGTATGTTGGTAACTGTGGAGAGCGACTGTGACAACAAGAGTAGTGGCATCGCGGAAACTAACCTCTCGGTGCTCTTGGCTCGGCAGATTTGTGTCGGGCGTGCTATCGTCAAACTGAAACATCGGAGGACTCAGCTTCTGATCACGAATTTCAGCGGCCAGTACCAACACTTGGCAAAGCGAACAGCAATCGCGAACTTTGAAGCCATCGATGGCGAAGAATGTTCCACTATCGCTCCGATTGCCACTGCTGCCGAAGGTAACACTGCATTAGCCAGTATAGTTGACGTGAATTGCCAGCTATCCTGTGCGCAGCAACAGCAGATATGCATGATTTTACGTACGTATAGTGATTGCTTTGCGTTCACCTCCAAAATCAAGCAGACCCCAACCGTGAAGCACCGCATTATAACG